TGAATCTAAACAACTTTTTATTCTAAATAAAATCATAAAACTTTATTTTTTAAAAGTTCCATACTTTTCAAGAGTATTTTTTTCATAATAACATATATAATCCAACAAAAATGCATTTTGTCAGAGAAATTTCCATAAATTTTCTCGTTTCTGAGGCCATAATAATTGATCATATCATACCGTCGTATAAATATTAATGTCCTTTTGACAGAAAAAATTAAAACCTATTCAACGAATTGTGAATTTTTAAACTTTTTATTAACATTTCCATTTTTTTTAAATAAAAGTTTAATGCATTCCTCACATGGCTTCGTGCTTCTCGACCAAGGAAAATACGATGTTATTTCAACGTTGCAGATGGCATATGTATCTGGCGAGAAGCACTGAAATAGGAAGAAGAATCTTCAAAAAAGGAACGTTACTTCAGGTTTTCGCACAGAGATATGTGGTCTGAAATTTGGCAAGACAATCGATTTACGTCTGGATCGTTGCCCGATGGAAAAGATCGCCTCGTTTAGTTATCGCCGTCGTTTTATTAAGAGTTCCGTTTGTTTGCTTTATCTCTCCGCTCGTGCGAGTGTGTCGGCGATCAACCACCGCGAAAGAAACTTCACGACGAGGGTGCCGTCACGGCGCGATGTATAATTCATAGAACTCGATGGCTCTGCGCGTCCAAAGGGTGTCCTGATAATTTTATATGACAATAGCAGAACGAGATTTTTTTTTTTTCACAATGACGCTCTCTCTTTTTTTATCTAATCAAGGAGACTTAATCCATTCGTTGTAATCTCTATAGTCCACTCCAACTTCTGTCTTTCTGAATGCGCCGAATAGCTGTACGCCGACAATGAGCACAATTTTACAGTCGTAAAACTCAGTCGAGAAAATGTTAAACGAACGCGAATCGGAGGGTGATTCTCAACGAGTCGCGACAGCTCCGTTCTATGCGGGCGATTCTCGACTGTAAAACTCTCCAGTACGTACTAACCCGAGCAACGCGTCATTAATATCCGGTGACGGCGGGACACCCTGTGTGTAGCCTTATAAAGTGCCCCGGCAGAATTAATCGCGCCGCGCCGCGCCGCGCGGAGGAAAAGTCCCGGACTCTCTCCGCGCGTCGTCCTTCGGTTGTGGGAATTAATGAAGGATTGATATCGCGATTATGTTGTAGCAATAGCGTAGAAGAGGGTCCGGCGATGGGCACCGTGTGGACCGATCGGCAGCGCGGATCGTGGCGGTAATTAATTGCAGGCATGACGGCGCTTTAACGTCGTTAATTTTAATTATCTCGATCGGAATCCGCTTGTAGCGCGGAACGCCGCCCGCGCCGCTTTGCGCTCGCGCTAATTTCGCGCTCATACTCGCTTCCGAGAAACGCGTTAACAATTCTTGGAGTGAGCTCCATCGAGAATGGAACGGGAGACAGGGGAAATACAGGGGTATCTTTCGCAAAATTTGTCACACGTCGCGACTACGCTAATGTTACGACCACTCTTGTGGCCGGGAATCGCGACGCGATACACAGCCTTGACAGGCTGTGTTTGGATTATTAAAGCGAGTCAAGTAAAAGCTAATTATCGCGATGGTCAGCCAAATGACAGATCAGGATCCTGCTACCTGCCTATTAATAATTCATAATTCTTTGTCGCAATGCAGGCATATACATATACAAAGCGAATAACAAGACATCAGCAAAACTGCTGTTACAAGCTTGCCAAGTAGTTAGATTACAACAGGCAAACTTGAATTAACAGAAATAGCGAAGCATAGCAGTTTTGCACACTACATAAAGCATTAACTCACAAATCAATCATATCATAATAAAAACGTGGCGTATAAAATTAACAATATTAATGTGTATCTAGCAAATGTATATCGAGATGACACGAGTAGCAGTCAAAGACCCCGTTAATTGATAAATTCATCCGAGCACAGCTTTTCATTTATCAAAAAAAGCTACATTAAGTTACACGTAACGTACTCGCTAGTTGTAATTTTCCACTCAACAGTATACTTATGTTATGTTACAGTATATATACGTATAGTTGTAATAATAATAATATTGTTGAGTGGAAAATTATAATTAACAGGTACATTTCTCTTCTTATCTTCAAAACAAACCTGTCGGAAAAGTGGCAACGATGACGGAGGTTTGGTACGATGGTCCATTATTCGCTACCAGCCCAGCAGGTCCAATCGGTGTTTATTTAAACACGCTTTAAATACAAAGCTGCGGCTTGACCGAGGCCTATCGCGCCTGCCCTCGGCAATTAAGCGAACGATTGGCTAACGAACGTCGATCGCCTCGCCGAGTGCGCGGCTCGTGTAACGTAATGACCGTCGTGCTGATTTGTTCGCCGTTACGGATTCAATTACGGGCGGCTTGCTCCGGTATTTTGCACGGCGCGGCGCGGCGCGGCACGGCCAAGCGTTCCGAGATCAACGGTGGAAATTAAATTAAACCTAACGCCGCCGTACGCTGGTACGCTACGCGTGCATAAATAACGAAAGTGACACCACCATCGGCCCGGGACCTAACGAACATAATCCGATACTTGCGTTGTTTTAAGCGCCGTTTGGCCGCACGCTCCCGAGCAAACTGCGAAGCTGGCTGCTAAATGAAGTTCAGATCAAACAAGGGTTGGCGATAATTGACTTTAACTGAAACACCGATCGGTTAGCGCTGATCATTTTTAACTCTCTACTGTCCAATGCAACTTTCAAGTCACATATCCGTTTGTTCCGATTATTGTTTGCATTTTATTGTTAGCAAGAAAATGCTTTTTATACGCATACTTTCTAAGTAAATAGATCTACTGTATATTTTATTTAAATTTAATTTAACTTGTTTGTTATATGTATATTGAAGATTTTTTTCTTGAAAGCCTGAAATATTCTAATTTATATAATTTATATAATAAAAGAGATTTAGACACGTATATTCATATAGTCCGTTCTTTATTATAAGATGTCTTAATAAGACACTGTACAGGATGAATCAGAGTCGTCGAACCAACTTTTTATCCTATGAGAAAATTATCGACTTCATACCTAATTAAATTATAACGTGTGTAGTGTATTATTTTCTCAAGTAAAAAGCTGATTCAACGACTCTGATTCACCCTGGGCACATATATGGATCTGCAATTGATTTATGACATCTTGAAACTGTGCCTAAGACGGACTTGAAGAATCAATTACAAATACTGGTCTTACAGTCGTCTAAAAATCAATTTTATCAAAACTAACCTTTTTAACTGCTTAAAAATTTTCGTGATGTGCGCAAATTATCCCGCGGAAGAATATAGGAAATGCGTTGGAATATTTCGTTTCTCGTATACATAAATATTCTCACATCCAACTGTCATCGCGTCTAAGAAATGTCTGGGAATTGAAAGACACGAAAATTGAGTTCAACGATGTTTGACTTTTGCAAATGTAAGCTCTCCCATGTTTAATCGCTTGAAAGGAGGCATGGCATGGTATGTCTAAGGTGTGAAGTCAGCAACGTAAGGTGGGGCCTGTTTCGCGGCCGACATTCGCGGCTCGGTTAGTAACTCTCGAGTTTGAGCGGCTGACTTCAAAGGGACGCGAAAAAATTCGTGCGCGATTGACCTCGAGTAAGGGAATACCTTCGCGAAACGAACAACGCGATTCCCTCCCTGCGAATTATCCCCTTCCCTCTGTTTCCCATCTTTCTTTCCTTTACGTACCTTATTCGCGTAAGAGATCGAACATTGAGCAATACATGCATTTGCATACGCGCCGTATCTCCCCTCCAGCTTCATTCACGTTCTTGTCATTGCGACTTAACGCGTGTCGTCTCGCGCGTGCAGTCATTTATCGTGAGGTTTATATCGGGTGTTCCGCCATTACCACATCAATGTTTAATCCTGCTGGTTTGTTTGGGATTAAAATGTAACTAATTTTCTTACTAGTGTTTTATTTTTTCTCTAATATTTAATGACTTTATCTGTTATAATTTGAAATGTTTTTTTTGTGAAAATTTGTTTTGTAATTTTTTAGATATATATTATATGTAGATCTAATAAATAATGATCGTATATAGTAAATTTGAACATTAGACTATTAGGGTTAAAGATAAATTGAGAATTTTTATACACTGGTAACTGGTTATTGTGGAATAACAAGATGTTCTCTTCCTGAGCTGAACTTCAATATAAATAAATGTACAAATTGTATTAAAAGAATTTTTTAATTTTTTCTCGTTACTAAAATATAGTTGAAAGTCACGAGCTTTTATTATTTATTTAGATACAATATTATATGAAGATAACAATTTTTTCTCATTTTTTCAAACTTGATTTTTGTAAAAGAAATAATGCAAAAATTATCCTTTTAATTATTCTTCGTTTTCTTAACATTAATATTATGTTTCTCATATGAAACAGTAATTTTATAGAAAAAAGTAGGAAATATGAACATATGAATTTACAATTATACATATTTATATGTTCTTGTATACAATTTTTTATACCTGATACTAATTAAATGTGTGTGCATGGAAAATAACATCGTATATTCGAAAAAATATAAACAAGAAGAAATGACAAAGAAAAGGAAAATTTACACATTTTCTATATTATATATATTTAACACTCACATTAGTATCGTATTGTATATATTCAATATTTTGTATCAACAAAATGTAAAATTAAAAAAAAATATTTTTTAAACAACGTGTATACATAAAATGTTATAAATTTTATATTCTTTTTATAATTTAAGGTACGGTCGACGATTAATACCGGTACCAAGAAGAAAAACGAAAACGTATACAATATGCGCCCTGGATTATCTCCCGGATCGCTCGATCTCTATAATTTATACCAACTTTCTCCCTCCCCCCGTGACGCTGGCCTTGGCTATGAGAATACATATCGTGTGCAACCCTTTTGGCCTCTTCGTATGGTACGTCCCTGGCACCGGCAAGTCGCGCGATTGGCCGTCCCGCGGGCGTGGGAGCTCCGCGGGGGTTCATGGCTTGTCGCACGGTTAGTACAACTGCGCTGGGGGTGGATCGAGGCACGCTGGACGGCTAGTACCTGGAGATAGGGCGAGACGGGGGTAGGTAGGCAGAAGTGATAGCCGGTCGGCGCAAGTGCGACGGGGAAGCGGCGGGGGTGAGGGGCGTATCGCAGCCTGGCGAAGCCCAGTCGAGTCCCGTGAGTCCGGGCAAGCACTGCTATCGAGTAGGTGGCATCGTGGTGGTGGTGGTGGTGGTAGTGGTGGAGGTGGTGGTGTTAGGCGTCGTCCGGGACCGAGGAGAAAGAGAGAAAGAGAGAGAGAGAGAGAGAAAGAGAGAGAACCGCCATCGAATACCGCTGCCGCCGCCGTCGTCATCATCGTCATCGTAGTCATAGTCGCGGTCGCTGTTGTTGCCATCTTCGTGTTCTTCGTTATCGTCGTGCTACTGCCGTCGAGGCGGTGCGTCGCCGTCGCGCGCTCGGTAAAAGCCCAGCCCCGACGAAAAGGAGTAAACAGCCTCCCTCGTCTCTCTCGCGCCGCGAGAGAGCGAATGAATGGAGAATGAAAAAGGCAGAAAGAGCGAGAAAGTTAACGTGAGCGAATGAGCGAACGAAAGAAATAGAGAGAGAGAGAGAGAGAGAGAGAGAGAGAAAGAAAGAGAGAGATAGATAGATAGATAGAATGTGTGAATGGGAGAGATGGAGAGAACGTAATGTGTGATTGCGAATCGAGAGGAAAGGAGAATAAAGCGTTCTCAGAAGTGATAAAGAAGTACTCCGTCTCGGTTGTTATCCGAAGGGAAAAGAAGAGGACGCGCCTACCGGTCGTGCGGCGCGCAAAGTCTCGTCGAGCCGTGCCTCGCCGGCGACGAGGTGGCAGAGGAGGAGAAGGAGGAGGAGAAGGAGGAGGAAGAAGAAGAAGTGTAGGAGGTGTAGGAGGAGAGACGACGGCAGCGAGAGCTGTCACTTCGATCGCCATTTTAGCGCCGAGGAACGACTGTATCAGATACGCACATCGGGGCCTCGGCTGGTGCCTGGTGCGTGCCGACGACGCGCTGCAATGGATACGTCTCGCCTGATCCGTGTCGCCCTCGCCGTACGTTCAGCACTCGCGAGTGCTTGCGACCTTTCCCCTCCCCTCCTCTTCTCTCTCCATCCCTCCCCTCCTTAAGGGGACGCGCGCTAAAATCTGAAACTCGCAAGGAAGCGCGACGCGGCGCTAAATCGCGCGAATGTATTCGGTATTTGTAGGCGATTCTTATATATTTAAGAATCTTAAGTACAGCCTTAGGATATCATAAGTCATTCATAAATATTGGGTGCTTTCGATTTAGACACAAGTCAACGCAAGCCTCGTTCCATCTTTCTTCACATTTAGTGAGTAATAAAGACAGAATGACATTTATGTCGACTTGTGTCATCAAATGAAAAGTACTTACTAGCGTCTTGAGACATTCCTTAAAATGATCTTGAAATAAGAACTGTCTTCATCATCACGTGTCCATCGCGATTCTTCTTGGATTGGATTGTATTTTTTAATTCTCGATATCTCGACTATAGCAACGGGTTATTCGAAGTGAAAATTTAGACGACTGTTATACAATCTGTGCGATTGATACTATGGGCGATATTTATAATCGATTTTTATGGACTTTCTACCGTAAGCCGTTATAGATCAGAAACCAGGAGCAAGTTGTAAGTAGGTCAGCAATGTCATGTCCCATAATAAGTCAATAATCAGTGACTACAGGGAGATGGCCTAATTCTATTGCTTACGATTTAAAATTTTGATTACGTTATAACTGACTAATCATATAATGTATTATTTGTCCTGTGAACTACCACTCTTCTGATTAGCGGCTGAAATATTGTGACGTAATGATCTAATGTTATTTATTCTTGATGTAAGTTTCCTAAGATTTATGACTGTAATTCTGCCTTATCACTAATCTGATATGAGTGATGACTAACGGCTTATTGTAGAAAGCCCATTACATTTAAGACTGTCTGAAGTACAATCTTAAGATGTTATGAATCAATCAGAGACCCGAATATATCTTGAGACACTACTTAAGAGGGTCTTAAAGTAAGAATGGACTATAAAAACCGCCGTATAAGGTTTTTATAAATCAGTAGATGAAATAACTTGAAATATTTATCTATTAATCAACATAAAAGGTGAAGATTTACTTGCATTTTATACTTTAAACAAGACGCTTTAGAACTTAGGTGTTGTTTTCACAACTGTAATTGAGGATTAATTTTGTGAGAGAAAAGACCTGATCTTGTCTTCGTGTCTATTTGATAAATACGTTCCTTTTGATAAAACCTTTTTAAGACAAGACGAGATATTAATTCTTAATGTTTCATCGAGAAACATTTTCGATCTATACTAGTCTAGAACGATGTTGCATGCAAACGCGGGTTTTCTAGGCCATTGCGTGCAGCACGCCGCGATAGTGAGTGTATCTCAAAATTTGTGCACTAGTAATTCGAGTAATCGCTGAACGTTAGTGCGGCCGATTTCTAAAGTCTCTACGACGAGTCGTAAATCTTTCGAACGCGACGTACTATTCGCGCGCTTCTCGCGAGTTGCGACTTATCGCGAAGGTCGTTTACGCGTCCGACCTACCACTAACTTCATTCGGTTCGCGATTCGACTCGAACGTTCGTTACGGTTATGGCGTGATTTTTCGGTTGTGGTACATTGCCCGCGGCAAACAATAACGAATATTAACGATATTGAATTAATGAATTTTAGAAACGATATCGGTAACCGGAGAGTTGAAAACGGGCGATTCGATTTCCCTCGTTAATTTCGCGAAAACAACATGCAGCTTTCAAATGGACGGTACGCGTCTTGTCGACTCGAATTCGTGGTATTAGACGGCAATGAAGGAAGAAGGTAAAAGGATAGTAAAAACAAGGAGAGTAAAAAGAGTAGATGGAAAGAACAGTGTTCAGATATGCACGATGGATGCGTGAATGACGGACAACAGAGATAGATAGATAGATGAGAGAGAGAGAGAGAGAGAGAGAGAGAGAGAGAGAGAGAGAGAGAGAGTGGAAAGAAAGTGAGCGAACAAGTGGTAAAAGGAGACAAGATGAATCAATGGGCGAGAAGGAGAGAAATAAATGAGCGAATGCGAACGAGTCGAAAGAGGAGGAAGCTAGAGTCGGAGAGAGAAAGAAGTGTGCGTGAGAGAGAGAGAGAGAGAGAGAGAGAGAGAGAGGGAGGCAGGAAGAGAGACAGGGAGAATACGAAAGAAGCACGGCGCCATACTGGCTCCCCGCGATTTCGCGACCGGCGACACGCACGCATGTCGGCTAGCCGGCCGGCCGGCCGGCCGGTCAGCCAGCAAGCGAGTGATGCTGTTTCGTGATTCGCAATTCGCGCCGAAACGACGGACACGGTCTGATCGATCGCGTTCTCGAATGCTTTTCTAGATGCCGAAGCGGCGACATCTGTTCCCGTGTGTTGCCTCCACCACGCACCTGGCCGCGGATTACCCGGAAATCAGCGATCGCCCGTCCCCGTCAACCGAGGAAAGCCGCCCCCTACGGCGTACGTAAAAGGGACGAGAGCGGAATACGCGTGTACGCGGCGCCGAGAGCCGAGCAGCCGAGAGGAATCGAACGGGCGCTCGCTCGCGCGCGCGCGCGCGCGATGATTCTGCGCGGCTTAGGACTGTTTCGTGAGTGCGAGTGAGATGGACGAACTGATAGAGTGAAAACGCACTCTCAGGTGTACACGCATACACGCGTGCAACGCGCGTGCGTGTCGGACCGCCGTCATCGGTGAGAACGACAGGATTGTTTGAAGAAAAAGAGCAGCGAGAATCGCCGAGTTGTGATGTTGGGCCCCGCGGCAGCGACGGGTTCCTCGTGGTGATCAAGTGCTCCGCTACGTATATAGTGCGTTTGCGAGGGGAAGAGAAAGAGGAAGAGAAAAGAAGAGACAGAGAGGAACGACGCGTCGGAACCGACGGTCACGAGGCGACCCGGAATAACGATATAATAGCAAGCCCGCCGGCCGTGTGTGAGTGTGTATTCGCCGTTCGGAACACGAGGAACGTGTCGAGAACAGGGGATCCCGGGTGACGTCGGGGGGGCGCGTGCAGAGCTGACTTTGTCCCCCCCCCACCCCTGCGCCTATAATCGGCACCCTTGAAGGCTCGCCGCGGTGCTGAGGAGAGGATCGCTCGCCGATTTTGCGGTGTGGTCTAGGTAAGTTTTCAAGATGTTTCTTACGCTTCTCTCTCTTTCTTCGTCTAACGATTTAAGGGACTATCTACTTCGCTCCGAGTTTATAGCTGTGTAAGTACTCGCAATCAGCTGACAGTGAAAACTGACAGTTACGAATAATATTTTTGGTTGTTTTAGAGTACTACATCAATGTATTTGTTAGTAATAAACAATTGTTAATTTCATAATTGTTATAGAAAATAATGATTTAATTTTATTTAAAAAATTGGTACATTGTTTTAATTCAATTTAATTGTTTTAATTAAGTCAAGGATTCGTTGGAATTAGTGAGCTTCAATTTTGTAAAAATGGAGCAAATGGACTCTAAAGTTAAAATAATGAGGAAAAATATTGATATCACATGTTCAATCAAAGTTAATGTCATATTTACGTTATAACATAACCTCACAACGTAGCCGAACACGTGATATTAATATTTTTTCCAATCATTTTAGCTTTGGAGTTTATTTACTCCATATTTACCATACGTGAGTTAGTTTACTGTCGCAAGCTCTTTAATTGAATGAATTAAGGCAGTTAAGTTCAAGGAATTCAACAATTTTTTAATGGTGAAATCATTATTGTATTGTACAACAATTGTAAAATTAGCAATTGCTTATTACTAACAAATTCTATTTCTCGTGACAATTGTTGATTATCACGAGTAACACAAGTAGAAATTTAAGAACAATTCTGAGTCATTAATTATCTAAATACTTCTGTGTTTGAATGGAGGTATCAATTCTAAACAATATAATTTGATAAAATGTTGCTAGCTTTGGAAGAAATTAAATTTGTTTTCTTAAATTCATTTTATGTCGAATTTCACACAGATACTGAACGTATTGTACAATACAAAAATCAAAGACATATAGGATAATATTTTTATTTATATAATTTTTACAAAAGACTATCCGTTTATAAAATATCTGCTTATAAAGTGAGAATACAGTTTTATTTGAAATTTTTGGTCTTCACTATCAAGCATTTTACTAGCATGATAAATACGAATTCATCATTGTAATATATGTAAACTGTCTCAGATTCCTTTTCCTGTCTTCACGCAAGTAAAGTGTTTTATAGTCTTCAGGGTTAACCCTTTCGTGCTCAGAGTGAGATATACTCTTCTACTTATTTCTTGTCGTGAATCATATTTAGCAAATGATATCCCTTGCAATGTGTGTCTCGAAAAATGCACATAATTTTTACAATTTTTTTTACCTTAAAAACATATAATAATTATATACAATTTAAAATAAATCTAACGAAAAAACCATGAATTATTTCACATACATTCACATAATGTCTGATTAAACAATAATTTTTACGCGTACCAACTTTCACTTTGTTTATAATTACACATGATGTATTATTAAAACATTAGATATAATTTCAAAGTTAAATATTTTTAATGGTGTTTGTTTTTATTATTACTTTTTATGTATTCTAGTACAAGTTTTCTTATAATTTATGTGTTATGAAGAATTGTTAGATAAGCTTTTGAGAAAGAGATTATAGTATCACACAGAGATTATCATATTAATTGGCCAATACGTCATTCATTCAAGTGACATCAGTTAATTCCGGCAAGCAATTTATCTCTTAACGTATCTGTGTAGTGATATTTATTCCGACTGTTCTTAAATTATAAAGAGGTATATATCGAAGAAGAAGCTTGTATCAGC